CGGGGGAGAGCCCGACCCCGCAGTCGCGGGACGCAAGCGCCAAGCTCTGGGGGACGAAGATGACAGCGAGCGCCCGCTCACCCTCTCCACACTCTTGGAAGCCCTCAAGGAGAACCGGGAGGAGATCGTGGCTAAGGTTCGCACCGACATGGAAGGGTTGAACACTAGGGTCAATGAGGTCGAGCAAGCTATGCAAGTGCACGTGACGCATACCACACGCCTGATGCAAGCCATGACAGACCGACACTGTGCAATGGAGGAGAGCGTCAAAGAGGTCGGGGAAAAGCAGAGCTCGGTGTTGCAGCGACTCGAGCTCCTCGAAGGCAAATTTGCTAAAGCCGACTTCCCAGTGTCTAGCACTCGCACCTCGGATTCAGAAACCGGGGGACAGAAGCCCGCCCTCATCATTGGGGGATGGGACTCGGACCAGCACCACGAGGAGACCCTCCGACTCATGCGGAAGCACATGCAGGACCTCAAAGCCGACCTGGACATACGCCAAGCGTTTGTTCCCGGGCTCCGCAGGGGGTTCACTATCGTCCCTCTTGCTAAGATACCGGGGGAAACTGACGCTGACCAGCGTGCCCGCATACAAGGTGTACTACGACTTGTGCGCGAAGCAAAAATCATCACAGGACAGCGTCCGGAAGGGGGACACCGCTACCTCTTTGCCACAATGTCGCAGAGCCCAGAGAGACGAAAGCGAGCTCAACTGGCAGGAAAAGTCAAGCGACTCATCATTGAGGAAGGGGGCGACCCCTCCCGCATCGAGGTCGAGTACGGGACTGCAAACTTGTGGTACAACAGCGTGAAGCTGGCCTCGGGGGTGACCTCGGCACCAAGTGGCGCCTCAGTCGAGAAAGCTGGTTGGGTGCACCTCGGGAACCTGACGCGGCAAATCGGGGGATCCGAAGATGCAGTGACCACGCGGTGGGGTGACCTCCGCAAAGCGCTGATGTGAGTCGACAAAGAGACTGCAACTCCGGGGGATGTCCCGCGCCCGGAGCTCAGAGAGAAGATGCATGCCCTAAGCTGGAACGTCGG